AGTACATAGTTTGCGATTGATTTGACCAAACTTTGTTGCTAAAATAACTTGTAATGCTTCATTACATAAATTAACCATGGTATATTCCACAGCAGAAAGAGTTGAAATTACCGAAATATATTTCGGAAATAATCAGTGCGCTAATAGAACAGCAGAAATATTTAATGAGTGACATGAGAACAGTAACGTGCATCGAAAATATGTTCCAGAACTTGTAGCTAAATTTCGGGAAACTGGGTCAGTCGCCAATAAAAAACGCAACATTGAAAATCCCATAAGGAACGAAGCAATAGAAGTGGGGGTTTTAGGGCAAGTTTATGTAGATCCTATGTTAACTACCCGCAAATTGGAGACTGTGTGTGGTGTTAGTCGACGTACTGTCCAACGGATTCTAAAGGCCCATAGTTTTCATCCGTATAAAATTGTGTGGTGTCACCCCCGCTTAGGGGGCTGCACGTGCTAAGGTGATTTTTTGCCAAACTTGTGCCCCCCTCGAAAACAAAATCGACGGGTCTGAGCGTTTTTCAAAATAAAAAACTGAGCTGTCAGTAAATGCGTCTGTTTCGTTTTCGATGCGCCACCCTGTATATATAAATATGTTATAGCAGATTTAGATAGGTCCTTTCCAACGAAGCAATTTGATATAACATACTTATAGAGTTTAATTTTCAGATTGTTGATATATTGGACATACTATCGAAAAAACACTCAACTTTTAACATTAACGACCTTCGCAACTGTTATAAAAAAAATTATTACCCATATCTTGTTCCTATCCATTTAATTTTGCAGTTTTTTGGACGGTTCATACATGGGGGCCAAGAACGTGACATGAACGATTTCTCAACATTTTAATTAATGGAACACCCTGTATATTTCCACATTCCTTGATTTCTCTTTATGCAAGCTTCTTTTATGTAAGCTTTATGGAGGTATGTACGACTTTTTTTTGAATTACAGCTAGCCTTTTTGTTAATTAGATATCAAAGTAAATGAAAAATATTACAATACATTTCTAAATAAAAAATAGCATCTAGTTGGTAACGAGAGACCTTTTGAATTGGTTCATTTTCATTATATATTGAATCTACCCAGTCTCATGCAATAAAAAAACGCACAAAACCCCTGTTCCATTTTGCCTTATTGACCACTCTGTATAAACTATTCAAGAAATTGAAAAATAAATCGATAGGGAGAAACACCGGATCATAAATTTTTTTGACGAAAAATTCAGTATCCAGCTGTAGTATTTGCGGGGGCGAGAGTTGTCAAAGTTGAGTGATTTTTTCGATAGACTGTCCAATATTTCAACAATTTCAAAATAAAACGCTACGATATATCAGAATGCTTCGTTTAAAAACGTCTATCCAAATATGCAATAAAATGTAGGGAATTCCATTTAAGGAATCATGTTTGGGTCACCACTTATGAATGACCCTGTAGACATAAAAATATTTACAAATCCTGTATTAATTTCCTTTTAAATACCAACCGTGATAACGGAGTTATCAACCAAGTCCACAGTAAAGACTCACCCTGTAGATATCGCAAAATAAGGTTGATGAAAGAAATTCTCGTCGAAATACGGGACCCCCTCCCGAAATAACCGGGTTCTAAAGAATTTCGAACATTTTCAACTCTAAACACCTACAAGCACCCCCCTCCCTCCGGTATTCAATGTTAACCAATCGGCTTCTCCCCCGCCCTCGCTACTCAATATTCAATCAACCTTACCCCAAAACAAATTCCGGGATCCGCCTTTAAGACCCCCAAAAAATATTTTGTAGTTGCGCCCTTGATTAGTATTTTTTTTTTTGGAAAATTCCACGAATAAACGAATAAATTTTTTCCAACTGTTTTTAATATGAAGGTGTTACAAATATACGACAGTGACAACAAGAGAAGATTCTTTCATTTTCAACCAGATGACAGGATGTTTTGATTTTGCTCATTTAATTTTTTTCAAATTTTGATCAATCGGAGAAACCGTACAATGGACTTAGGGGTACATTGAGGAATAAAAAAATGCGGTCGATTTTCCAAAACAAGGCAAAAAGTAACTTTTTGACGTTTTTAGTATCAATACTAAGTAAAAAAAATCCTGGAAGACTGCAATCAAATCTTATTCGAAGTTGAGTCATTTATTTTAACAGTGAGTAGATCTGATCAAAAGAAATGGTTTTTTCCTTTACCATTTTTCTGGTAAAATTAAAGTAACAAAGTTATAGCCCTTTGGAAGTTTGAGTACCGCCCTGTCTCAATAATAATATTATGTGCTCGTGTTTGGCAACAACGGATATAATCCGCCTTATCGGTTCATCGCATCGGAAACAAAAAAGCGAAAGAATTTGGAACGATGTTTTTACAATTATTTTATTCAGTTGTATAGAGTCAGTGACAGTCGGTAACGCGTGAGTGAATAGTGGTGTCTGTTGCGTGGCTCAAACGAAATAAAAAATGGCACATGTTTATGCGGATCGGTTTCCCAATCGAGTGCAACCAACCCCTCGTGCCTTTGTTAATGTAGTACAACGGGCTCGTGAATCAGGTGACTTAAGACCTCACAGGGGACGGCATGCCGGTGTTCCAAGACCTCACGATCAAATACAGGTCCGCACTGAAATACTTGTCGGGAGGATACTTTATAAAACAAGGTAATTTTTTTTTTATTTTCACACACATATTTTGGTTTATCTTCCTTCTACAATCATTATCTGAAAATTAATGACTCAACTTCAAAGTCACCCTGAACATAGGATATTTATTCTAGTTTTCGGAAATACCCTTACATTATCAATCTGTGAGATCACTGCTGACCGAGATATCAGTTGTCGATCACAAAAGGGTAATTTTTCATTAAAAGTCAGATATCTTCGCGCTAAATGATCGTACCGACATTTTAAAACGAGGATATTGAAGCTGAATAAACGAGCTATCCGATCGATCTATATGATGCAGTGCTATCTGTTAGAATTGCATGAGAACCGTTGCTCCTAAAATTGTTCGGGTAAAACCCAGAAAACTAGAATCTTAAAGCTTTAACATAGTTTTTTAAAATCTAGATTTTCACCAAAAATCACTGAAATATTTTTTTGTTCCCTTTGTTTCGTCGAGTAGTGTAACAACACAAATTTTTTGAGGAAAAATTCAGTACGCCAGCTTTAACATTTGCGGGGTGCGAGTTGTCAAAGTTGAGTGATTGTTTTCGATTTGACCCTGTAGAAATAAAAATATGTTGTGAATCAGAAGCGTACTGTGAGCTACAACTCCCGTATTAATTTCCTTTTTAGATACAAATCGTAATAACGGAGCTATCAACCAAGTCAACAGTAAAAACTCACCCTGTAGTTATCGCAGAAATTGATGAGGTTGCTGAAAGAAATCCTCCCCAAAATACGGGATAACCCGAATTATCCAGGTTCTAAACAATTTCGAACATTTAACGTACAAGGACAAGAGTTCTCAGCACCCTCCAAACAATATTTTGTAGATGCGCCCCTGATCAATATTTTTGAAAAATTTTTTTTTGAAAATTCCATGAATAAAGAATAAAATTTTTCCAACTACTTTACATTTGAAGGTGTTAGAGATATTCAATAGTGACAACAAAAGAAGATTATTTTATTTTCAACCTGATGACATCATGTTTTGATATAAAAATTTTGCTCATTTGATTTTTTTTTCAAATTTGGATCAATCGGAGAAACCGCACTTCCAAAAATGCGGTCGATCTTCCAAAACACGGCAAAAAAAAATTTTTACGATTTTAATATCAATGCTAAGTACAAAAAATCCTGGAAAACTGCAATTAAATCTTATAGGAGGTTTATTACAGTTTTCGGAAATATTCTTACATTCTCCGTGCGATCACTACTTACGAGATATAATTGTCGATGATAAAAGGATAATTTTTTATTCAAAGTCAGATATCTCCGCGCTAAATGATCATATCGAAATATTAAAAATAGGATATTGAATCCGATCTATATGATGGATTTTGCAAAAAATGTTTCCTGTGCTATCTGTTAGAATTGCATGAGAACCGTTGCTCCTAAAATTTTTCGGGTAAAACCCTAAAACCCAGAATCTTAAGCTTCAAAATACTTTTTTAAAATCTAGATTTTCACCGTCAAAAATCACCGAAATATTTTTTTTGTTCCCTTACTTTTGTCGAGTAGTGTAACAACACAAATGTTTACGTGAACGAGAAGATTTTATATACACTTGGCGCTCAACGTGGAACTAGAATTACTACTTCAAGCTCCTATTGAATTCTAGAAGCTGTAAATGTCATCCCACTGTCTATGTTTCAAACCGATATTTTATATCACATATTTGAAGTTTAAGTCGTCGCAGTCTCGTTTTGAATTGCGCAGTTTTGAGTACGTCGCCAATATGTCTTAAGCTTCAAAATACTTTTTTAAAATCTAGATTTTCACCGTCAAAAATCACCGCAATATTTTTTTTGTTCCCTTACTTTTGTTGAGTAGTGTAACACCACAAATGTTTACGTGAACGAGAAGATTTTATATACACTTGGCGCTCAACGTGGAACTAGAATTACTACTTCAAGCTTCTATTGAATTCTAGAAGCTGTAAATGTCATCCCACTGTCTATGTTTCAAACCGATATTTTATATCACATATTTAAAGTTTAAGTCGCCGCAGTCTCGTTTTGAATTGCGCAGTTTTGAGTACGTCGCCAATATGTCTTAAGCTTCAAAATACTTTTTTAAAATCTAGATTTTCACCGTCAAAAATCACCGCAATATTTTTTTTGTTCCCTTACTTTTGTTGAGTAGTGTAACACCACAAATGTTTACGTGGATGAGAAGATTTTATATACACTTGGCGCTCAACGTGGAACTAGAATTACTACTTCAAGCTCCTATTGAATTCTAGAAGCTGTAAATGTCATCCCACTGTCCATGTTTCAAACCGATATTTTATATCACATATTTAAAGTTTAAGTCGTCGCAGTCTCGTTTTGAATTGCGCAGTTTTGAGTACGTCGCCAATATGTCGATTTAAACGGATATCTCTTTCATCTCAAGAATCTTGCTGTTAATCGCACTAGTCGTTATAGTATCTTTTTGAGACACGGTAGTCGAGACAGATGTTGAACATGGTGTAGAACTAGACACTGATTTGGTCGTAGATGATTCTTGACTTACGGTATTGTTCATTTGAGAATGCATCCTTTGATTCTGCAATCTGATCAACAGACTAGGATTAGGAATATTTCTGATATTCTGATTTTGATTTGGCCTCACATTACGTATTTGTGGATTAGTAGGTCGGAACTTCTGTATCTCGTTCAACTTAGGTAGTTTCTGTAACGTAGCCGGTTTCATCTGTGACGATGTATGTTTCAGAGTCTGTAAATTTGGTATTTGAGGTCTTGGTTTGTTTACGATTGTGTTTATAATCGGAGACGAGCTTTTGGTCAAAGTTGAATGCTCTGTCGCAACTTTAGACAGCATTTGTAGGTTAGAAAGAGCCATATTTTTCTCGGGATTTGCAGAAGATTTTGGCAATGGACTCATCTGTTTAGAAGGATTAGGAGTTATGCTGATTCCGTTTGGCACTGAATATTCCAACTTTGCAGACACCTTTTGTGAGGTTTCAGGAGTCTTACTCTTAGAAAGATCCAGAGCTCCGTTATTGTCGCACATATCTGGTCGTTTTGGAATGATGCTTATTCCAGATTTTAAGTTGATCGAAGACTTCTTTATCCTTTCTAAAGGTATAGTATCTGGAGGTGGTCTTTTAGCAACAGGTTTATCGGAGTGGGGTTTCGATGAATTACTCGAGGAAGGAGGGTTGATCAAAGTTATCTCCAAGCTAGGCCTCTTGTCATGCAAACTATCAGGATCGCCCCCTTTTCTTTTAATTCCTTGTTCAACCTTGCTGACCGTGAAACCAGGTGGATAGTGCGTTGTTATAATATTCCGTTTTTCGTTGACGAAACTTACTTTCTTCTCCACTTTAGGCTCTATAATGCATTGCTGTTGCAAATTGACAATCTTCCTCTCGAAACTCTTGTCCGATGTATTTATCTTATTTTCAGTCTTAAATTGTTGGAGTTTGTTCAGCGTGCTATTGATTGTTTTGGGCTTTTCGACCTTTTGTTTTTCGATTTTTTGGTACTTTTCGGCGTAAGCATGAAATGTCTTAAGAAATGTCTTCTGGGCCTCTTTATCAGTCGCATCATTTCTTTCTAACTTGACCGTAGGTTTCTTCCCCCATTCTTCCCCAGAAAGTTTGGAGCTATTGCCTTCTAGGAAAGTACCAACTTTCGGACTGGTATTGGTATGCTCAGTTTGTTGTTTTGGCATCGCCGCAGATTCAGACACTTTGCTCGTCGGTTCTGCGACTTTAATTTTGAGTTTTTTGATCTCTTCGGTAGGTTTGATTTGTACTTTTTCGGGTACCCTAGGCTTTTCGGGACTAGGCATTCTGCCAGTAACCGTAGTTTTGATTTTGTCAGTACCAGTCGAAACAGCCTTAGTGATTTTGATCGAAGGTACAGTTTGGAAATTCTTGTCTTCGATAGATAAATGCTTATGTCTGACTTGTCGCATTTGCAGTAGCTTTTCTTTCGAGCTCATCTCGCCGGATGCAGGTTGCTGGGACCTCTCGCTTTGCCCAGAGCTTTTGTGGTGTTTATGTTTATAACCATTATTGGTGATCTTCACTTTCAACTTTAACTCTTCCTCATTAGACGCTATTTCCGCGTGTAGTTTCCGTTTTTTGTGAACGTTGAATTCATTTTTTGAGTGTTTGCTCTTTTTTCTCTTCTTACTCGAGTGATGGGTGGGGTATTCCTCATCAACTTCTTTCTTCTTTTCATCTAATTTTTTCTGCATCGCCCATTCTCGATCACGTTTCTCAGCAAACTTTTTGATCTCTTCTAAATCGGGCTCCTCGTACTCAAAAACGCAAGTATCTTTATTCGCAGCCGGCTTCTCAGGTACTTTCTTATCAAACTGAACCTTACTTTGGAGTTGCAAGTGCGCAAAAAGCAACTCCTTATCGTTCTTTTGATCTTGCGTCTGTTCGTAGATTGGAGTTTCTTCCTTGGTTTCTTTCTTCTCCACGGGCTTAGGGGTTCTGGGCGATTCCATGTTTGGTTTGACAGGAACAATTTGCAACTGTTTTCCTCCAGTAGATAAGGTAGTGTTGACGATTTTGATCGGACGTATTTTCATAGGGAAGAAGATCCGGTAGAAGAAACGCATTGGTTTCAGCTGAAACAAAAGAGAAACGTGTCAGAATTAATCAAATGTAGTGAGATAGAATCGAAAATGAGAAGCCTTTTGACTTCCGATGGTATAGATGAGGATAGGTTTACTTAAAATATCACGAAATCCTTTCCTATAATGTCTTTTGGAACGTCTCTTTACCGTGCTAGCTCTTTTTATCACCACATAATCTCAGTAACTGCTCTATGTAGCTTTGATGAAATTCGAGGGCGATATAATAATAATAATATTTATTTACTCTAAAATACAGGGAACATGAAACGAGTAAATAAATATAATATATCCATAGGAGGACAACGCCTGTGCATGGATCATATGTATGTTGAATTGCAAAATATAATAAAATAGAGAGAAAAAAGAAATTATTGGTAAGAATGGTAAAGCATTTATTGTGTAATATTTGAGATTATTTTATTAATTTGATTTCTCCCAATCGTGTTAATAAATGTTTTTAATTTTTTTTTGAAGCCTAATGTATTGCGTAATTGTTTTAAATTATTTGGTAAATGTTCGTACAATTTTGGAGCTATATACAGGTGACATCGTTTCATTAGGGATTTGTTTGGTTTAGGAACATTTTTTGCGCGTAATTTATATCTGGTTTTATGGTTATGTTTAATTATGTCGTGTTCACTAATAGTTTTGTGATAATGAGTGATGGTATGTAAGAAGTAAAGTTGTTTAGTATCATATATTTGTGCATCATTATATAAGTCATTAGTTGGGTATAATTTTGATTTGCCTAACATTGATTTTAAAATTCTTCTTTGAAGTACATCTAAATCGTTAAAGTATGTCGTGCATGCAGCACCCCACACTACTATACCATATGTTATGTGTGGCTCGACTAAAGCTTCATATATTATTCGTAGATAATATTCAGTTAATATACCGGTTAGAAATTTTATTTTATATGCTATGAATCTAATTTTCTTTAGTATGTGAGAAATATGTACATCCCATCTCAAGTGGGGATCTAGATAAATTCCTAAATATTTTGTATCATTAACTCTATTGATTTTTATATTTTTATCATTTACCTTAAACCGAAGGTGGTTATATTTTGGTAGATGATTAGATAGTGATGAAAATGGTAAAAAATGAGTTTTAGTAAAGTTAATTGTTAATTTTCGGTTATTAAACCATTGAATAATTTTGCAAAAGTCATTTTGGATAATATCTTTTAAGTCGTTCCAATCCTTACCTTTATAGAGTATAGCAGTATCGTCTGCAAAACTGACTATTTTACTAGTACTGTTAATTTTGAATATATCGTTTAAATAAATATTGAATAACAGAGGACCCAAAATTGTACCTTGTGGAACACCACATTTAACAAACATTTCTTTACTATACGAGCTTAATAATTTTACTGATTGCGGTCTATTTGATAAATAATTTTCTATTAAAGTATACATCTTTCCACGAAAACCTATTCTTTCTAAGATTTCCAAAAGTATATTGTGGTTAACTGTGTCAAACGCTTTTTGTAAGTCCACAAATACGCATATAGATGGTACTTTTCCATCTATATTTTGGGTTATTTCATCTACTATACTTAATACCCCATCTGTTGTAGATTTACCCGCTATAAAACCATATTGATTTGAATTTAGAATTTTGAATTTATTAAGAAAATTAATCATTTTATTAAGGAGTAATTTCTCAAAAACTTTAGCTAAACTTGATATAAGTGAAATAGGTCGATAGTTAGTGACGTCCGTATTATCATTAGATTTATAGATAGATATGATGATTGCTGTCTTGAAAGCTGATGGAAATACTCCAGATGGGAAGGATTTGTTAATGATATAAGCAAGTGGTTCTGTTATTTGTTTGGCCAGTATCTTTAGATGTTCAGCTCTAATTTCGTCAACTCCAGGGCTTTTTTTATTTTTTAGAGTCATAATGGCATTGAAAACATCCTGATAGTCTACTTCAGTTAATACAAATGAATTATTCAGCCTTGTTTCATGCAGATGAATATCAGCATTTTGTTTGATATTATTTGCTAAGTTTCCTCCTATATTCGTGAAAAATTCTATGAACTCATCACATATTTGCTGAATATTGTCTGTTTTCTGTCCTGTTTTTGTTTTTATTTCATTAAGATTGTTTTTTGAATAGGATGACTTATTGAATATATCATTGACAGTGGACCATAGGTGTCTAGAGTCATGTGAATTATTATTCAATTGTTTTATATAGTAATTTTTTTTTGCTTTTCTCAAAAGTTCTATAAATTTGTTTTTATACTGATTATAATGATCTATATTTTCTTTCGTGGGTAAATATTTCATGATTTTATATAGTCTTTCTTTTTCATTTGCAGATTTTATTAGTCCTTTGGTCATCCAATCATTTCTGCTTTTTTCCTTGTGACTTATTTTAACCTTATTAGTACTAACTTCAATTACTTTTTGAATTTTGTGTATTAATAAATTTGTAGCTTCGTCTAAAGAATTTGTTAAAAAAATTTCGTCCCACGATTCCGTTTGTGCGTTAAATATTAATTTTGAGTTGTCAATGAAATATTTGTATTCAAGGTTTCTTTCATTTTTTACCCTTGGGCAGTTCTGGTTTTTATTTTGTGAAGATATCAATAATACAGTGGAATAATGATCTGTAATATCGGTTTCATAGATAATAGGCATGTAAGAAAAAATATTGGAAATATGTTAGTAGTACTGGAGAAAAGTATCGTCAGGTAGATTGTTTCAAAATCTAGATACCCTAGCGACAAAGGAGTAGTCGCATCGGCCAGTTCCGGATGTATAAAATCGACGCGGTTAGGATAGGAGGCCGGCACGGGTATTATGTAAAAAACCTATAAAACGTCAAAAAAACCTATAAAATGTCATCTTGCAGACTAGGTAGTCATTCCAAGTTTGCTCACTAGGATCGTTGTGAGCGCCATCTATGGAGGAATTACTCAACTAAACTACACGCATTGTTGGTTGCATATGTTTTGTCAAGTTGAGTGGTCTGTAGTTTTCATCTATGAGAAGAAAGTTGGTTTAATACAAAGATCGCATCTGGATTATTATGGGTATTGGTCTGCATGTGTATAAAGTAGTGGGGCAACTTGTTATCCTCCTTTTAAGCCTATATTTGGCAACAGTGTTAATTTTAACACGTTCTTCTAATGTAGCAACCTTCTGTGAATACCTCAGAAATCAAATTAATTAGTTTTGAAGTGAATATCGTCAGTAAATCAGTAAAGGTAAGGACCGCTTAAAAAATATCCTGAAGTCAAGTTATACTCAGTGATAAAAGCAGCGGTAAGTGTTTTTAGTCTAATTTTAATAAGAGTATGCCGACATACGATTCCTAACCTAACTTTTTTTGGCGGAACAATCCGTTAAATGTATCTAAAATAGGTGATGCCACTTTTTGATGTAATAAGGTACGATGTGGGGTAATATGCCTACAGTAGAGAGTGGGGACTCAGAATTGGAACATGATGAATCAGAATTTTGTGCCCAATGCGGTGGGTTTTGATAAAACAGGTGCCAAATGATCGGGTTCACGAGATATGTACTCCTTTAGACAGCGACTGTGTCCCACTAAATCAACTAGCAAGTACCTGCAGAGCTCTGGAGATATGAGATTTATTAGCCTCATTGTATTACTTAATAATACTTTTTGTTGTAAGGATTATATATTTTTTTCTAACCTAAAAAAAGTTGTTCAATTTTTACGAGAAGAGCATGTTGCCATATTCCCCAAAGCATGATGCCATATTACCGATAGGTACGGGTAATATGGCCATAGCGTATCATTCAACATTTTTGCTTCTAACCATTCTTCAGTCTGGGATTATATCAACGAGCATTTCACTTCACATACTCAAATATACACGCTCTAAGATGCCGCCTTCTCCTTGTGGTTGTGTTGGTTGCTTGGTACTTTAGTCTAAAACCAGTGATATTTGCTGTGTGTGAAAATCATTACTGAATATGCTGGCAATGAAGTATATCTATTAGCTGTGCCCGAGCAGTTATTTGTATTGTGCTTTCTGGAGAGAGGTTCTGTTAAAAGTTATAAATTACGACAAACTTTGAGGAGAATTACGGGAAGTCACCACCGCGCCCACGTTGTGTGAAATTACTGATAGCATGTATACGGCTTGTATACTAAGTGACATATAAATCCGAACACCCAGTTTAAATGGTTTTATTTTAATAAAAGTTGGTGAATGTATTTATCTTACTGTAAATAACAAGTGAAAAAATTTTCAGCCTTATCAGTTGGACATTCCGGTTTTTATACTGCTTTTTTTTTAATTCACTAACGCTCTAAAAATGAATATTTCAGCCGCAGTAAAGAATCAACGTTGTCGGATTTTGGTTCTTGACATCCTTTACGATCGGTTACGAGGCCTAGAGTACGGAGACCTGTACGATTTCGTCAACTTAGTGAGTTTGATAGGGCCCGTATAGTGGGACTTCGGGAAGCTGGACTTTCTTTTCGGGCAATTGCAGTTAGAGTGCAAAGAAGTGTAGACACTGTGGTTAGGTGTTGTCAGGCATGGCTTCGAGAAGGCCGTACGCAAAGAGCAAGGGGCACTGGACGCCGCCGTAGAACAACAGACCGTGAAGATCGCCGCCTAAGATTATTGGCCTTAAGGGACCGTTTCTCCACTACCAGGTCCATTGCAAATGAATGGTTTGCAGAACACGGGAGACCTATTGGCATGCGAAGTGTTTACCGACGAATGAGAAGTTTTGGCTTGTTTTCATACCGGCCACACTGGGTCCTACCTTTAACTCGAGAACACCGACGTAATCGCCTTGAGTGGTGCAGACAACGGTCACACTGGGATCAGGAATGGAACAGTATTGTCTTTAGTGACGAGTCTCGATTTTGTTTAGGCATGCACGATGGTCGTGCCAGGGTTAGAAGGCGACGTGGTGAAAGGAGGAATCCACAGTTTTTTGTTGAAAGACATGTTCATCACACTGTTGGAGTTATAGTTTGGGGTG